ATTAGTACAGGCATCACCGACAGCAATGACTGCTGTGACTTTAGGTCCTAAAAAGTAATCGGGACATTTAAAGCTATATAATCGATTTATGTGAGTCAAAAGTCAGATTTATGGGGTTTCTTTTAATAAAACAAACATAATAATGATAGAAAAATAATTAGTTTCATTTGTCAAGAGGAGAACACAATCCTGCTTTAAATATTCCAGCTATTTTGGGAATAATGTCTAATTATAGGCCTTTTATAAATGTAGATACGACTTCAAATTTCCAACCAGCAATCGTTTCACAATCTGGATGTGAGTTTGTCGTCCAGCATCTGCGATTAAGTCAGAGGACAACACCGAAGTGCAGCTGTTTCCGTCCTGACCACCACTGTTTTTGCATTTTAATTTAAATTCCAAACATTCCCGCCGTGTCTCTGCTGCACTTCACCGTCCGGCCTTAAACCTTCAGCTAGGTCTCCCTCTAGTGGTTCCTCCCTGTAACTGGCGTTTCTGGTTACACCCGGGCACTGGTGGCGATGGGGTGAGATATACCAGACACCACCAGAGGTATTCCTCCTGCCCTGAAACAGCAGCGCCTCCCTCCTGTCAGCATCTTGAGCATTCGCCTCGGAGGCTGTATTTATAGGGATTGAAGCCTGTGATTGACGGACTGGATGCAGCTCTGACCTACAGACCAGCTGCAAATGTGGTGTGTGTGTGTGTGTGTGTGTGTGTCAGTGCAGGCTGTGGTACGAGTGTGTGTTTGTTTGTTTATTCACTGATTAGTCAACTGACAGAAAATGCATCCAAGAGTTTAGGTAACTGATTAATCACTGCAGCCATCAATCAGGAGAAAAGCCAAACAGTCGCTGGATTTACTGCTTTTCTCTCTTTTGTTTTGTGCTGAACTGAATCTCTTTGTTGGATGGGCTGAACTGTAGCTCTGAAGCTGTCCTCTCTGCATGAGAGAAGTTATGATAATTTGACATTTAATAAGCTAAAGAATGAATTAACAAAACTTAAAAACAAACTTTTTGCGACATGAACTTAAGGGGTCGTGAGATAATTACTGGGTTAGAAAATAAGAAAACTGTAAAAACATAATGATGTTTTTTTTTTAAAAACTCTTCTGTAATCTTTGTTTGTTCCTTGTAAGCTCCAAGACAGTTTATTCTGTTTAGGTGTCAGAAACATATCAAAAATGTCTAATTAGAGTAGATTTCACAGAGTCTAGATGCTGCTTTGTATCAAGAGGTTAGATGCAAAACTGTCGTATGTGATTTTACAGAAATATCTTCATTAGTGATCTTTAGAAGTGCTGTAATTACATTTTGCTGAAGCCAGGGAAGTTGTTGTCGTCTACTTCTGCACCTCATTCTCAGTTATTTCTCTAGACTGTAGCTTCACAAAAAAACTAAACCCAAACCAAACAACAACAGAGAAAACAGCAGCAAAAATACAGTAAAAATAATGAAAAACAACAAAAATACAATCATTTTCCCCTTAATCCTACACGGGATCAGCATTTTACAGAAGAACAATAGAGTTTATAAGATGAATGACACTTTGTGAGGTAACCTGATGTGCTTATAGTCATAACATGCAGATAAAAACACATTTATTCAACATTTTTGTTGTGAAAACTAATTATACAAGATAATCCTCATTTAACAAACAAATACGTGCAAGATTGCAGCACCAATATCTCCTCTATCTAATTTTTAAAATATTTGTAAGTGTTAAATATGGAGCAGTGAGAGCGCCAAATTACAAAAATAAATTAATAAAAGAATTTTAAAAATACAGAAATAAAAAGAGGAATGAGTATAAGAAAAATCAATTTAATATTATTTATTTAGTTTTTAAATGTATTTTTAATTTTAATTTTATTTTTTTAAGATATTTTTAATTATTTTTTTATTTCTATTTTTTGCTTTTAAAGTGACATTTAATTTAAAGGAGAGGAAAGATGTACAAAAAAGGTGCGCACAACAACATTCCTACTTGAATAAATTAAATGTTGCTTTAAAAGCCAAAAAAAAGGGGAAAAAACTTTTAAATAATAATAAAAAAATAAAAAAATATTTTAAAAAAATAAAAAGTAATATTAAATTAATTATTATTATATTTATTCTTCCTTTTATCTCCAGTTTTTTAAAAAAATCTTTTATTGAATTATTTTTGTAATTTGGTGCTCTCACTGCTCCATATTTAAACTTGAATTCGACAGTTGTATTGATTAAATAAAAACAGGAAATGTTTGTAAAATTACAATATATTTGCTTATAATAAATAATAATGACAGCTATAGGTTTTCAATGTTATTTTAATGTAGACGTATAAATTCAGAGCCTATTTTTGCACATTTAATAAAATACAAAAAAAAGTAAAATTAAAAGGAAACATTTTAAAGAATTACTGCATTTATTATTACTATTTTATTTATTTATTTATTTTTACAGTGTATGGAAGTGATATCAATCCTAACTATATTTCCTAAAATTGCTGAACTATTCCTTTAACTCAGACAGTTTTATGGACCTCCTCTGCTAAACTTATTTTAACAAGGCAATAAACATGATTAAACTGAATAACTGAGTTCAGGTTTCCTCTGACTGAACGCTGCACTAATGAAGCGTCTGTCATCCGCTACAAGAGGCTGCAGGCCTGACCGGCCGCTGCTGCTGCTGCATGATGACGGCTCTGCTGGAGGACGAATGACGACTGTGGCGTCCAGAGACCTACCCTTTCTCATGTTACAAAGACACACACATCACCTTTGGCTCCGGATTGTTAAAGTCGCTGTGCTGCTACAGAGTTGTGTGTCTGCATGTGAGATGTCAGCGGCGGAGAATCAGCGAAGAGTTACGGCCACGCTTTCATTTATAACCTATAATTGGGTTTATGAAGTCACATTAAGACACATACATGGCGACGCTAAACGATGGGTGGTCTTCCCATCCTGGTGTGTGTATGAACGAGGCAGAGACCGGACAGGTGTTTGATGGCCGTCAGACGGACAGGAATAGAGGGTTGACATCATGTGTTGGTTTGGGGTTGCTGGATAGAGACAAAGGTCTTTACATGGGCTGTGCCCTGAGAGAAGAGCTGAAAGACAGTGACCAAACGGTGCCCCAGTCAGAGCGGACGCTGTTTGGGAGTGTGGGAGGGTCTGAGGGAGGTTAAGGACACGCACTCCCACAGCGGTGAGATGAGGGACCTCATATCTCCTTCAGGTTCAGACGCAGGTGGACACACAGCCCCACACACTGTGTACGCAGGTAAGAGCCACGGCAGCCTTTAGTCTGATGGACACATGGGTCCATTAGAGGCAACAGAGTGTTGTTTTGTTTTCATTTCAGAAGCTTGGTTGTTATTTATTTTCCATTGTTACCTCAGATATGAATGTGTTGAAGTTACTGTGTATGTTTGGTTATTCTCTGCTTTAAACATAAATCAGATGTGCTCCCATCTCATCAACCTGACGAAGAAGAAATGTTTCTGATATCGACTGAAAGCTTAACGATGAACAGAACAAAAGTTTTACATTTTGTGGAGTTAATTTTAACCCTGTTGGCAGCGTGGCCTTAGGGATGGCACCGATGATTTGTTGCTACACTACTTTGGTCCAGACTGAAATATCTCCACGACTATTGGAAGGAATTTTGGACAGACGTTTGTGGTCTCCAGTGGATGAGCCCTAACCACTTTGGTGAACCCTTTGACTCGTCTTCCAATGCAACCAGTATATTGATATTTTTGTTTTCTGGTGGCACAAGTGAGGGGAGATTAAGTGTCTTGATGTTGTTTATTATTGATGAGAGTCCATCTTGGTCACTGCCCAGAGCCCGACTGGGTAAGAATAGGATCGTGGATACAAGTGGCCGAAATAGGTTTGATGTGGAGGATGGCTTGGAGCAGCCTTAGTGACAGGATAGGATAGGATAGGAGCTCAGACATTTGGAGGGAGCTTGGACAGCCACCGCTCCTTTGTGTCAACAGGAGCCAGCTGAGGTTGCTCAGGTATGTAATAGGGTTGCCCCTTGGGTGACTTTGCGGCTTTTCCAGGCACGGATCCCAGGGTGGACCCAGAACTCGTTGGAGGGATTACATAGCTCATCTGGCCTGGGAACATATTGGGATTCCCCAGGTGGAACTGGACAACATTGTTGGAGAAAGGGGCATCTGGAAAGAATAGCCTGCTGCCACCAGGACCTGACCTTAAATAAGTGGAAGAAAATGGATGGATTGATGGTTGATGACCAATTACCTGACCGTTGCTTGGCCGTTGACTTTCAGTTTTCCTTAAAACCTTCTCACCTTAAGATTTGTAGATGGTATAGTTAGTTTTGCTGCGAGAACATCTGAACTTTACAACCGACAGTTTGCTATCAGGATAGTGTCTTGCTGTTGACATTACATTTTCGTGACGTCTTTGGAAGCTTGACTGTATGAAAGTTACACAGAATATGATTGTGTGAGCACAGAGGCTGCATCAGTCTATAGCTATGTGGTGAGCATGTTCATGTGAGGTGAGCCAAGATATTAAAAAGACTCAAATAGCCTTGGACTAAGCAGAGATAGAGACACACACACACATAGTTGTGTTTCCATCACTCCAGAGGACATTACACTGACTTGCTTTTATTTTTTTAAGGCACACCCTAATCCGAACTTTGCTCTAACCTTGAACCAAGCCTACAAGCCCAAATATACTGATTCACGCTACGGGGACGGGCTCGTCGTCTCGAAAAGGATGCGAGTCCAAAAAAACGTGACTGAGTAAACAGGTTTATGTCCCCGCTGCATGAGTAATACAAGCACACATAGACACGGTAGCACGAAGGAGGATTTGCACTGGACAGACGCTGTGATCTCACCTTCCTGGAGTGTGTGACTCAACTCTGGAGAGCAGCAGGAATTCTTTGTTGTAAATCCACAACACACTCTCCTGTCTGTCACTGCTAATGCTCATCGCAGCTCTTCACCGTGACAGCGCTGTACGAATCCGTCACTACTCGGCCATCACACTTGTCAGTATTTGCTGCTTGCCCTGTTTTCCCATCGCTGCTTCTCTGGTTTGTTTTCTTTCAGCACATTTATTTCCTCTCTCTCTCTCTCTCTCTCGTCTTTGTGTCTTGCAGAGTTGCAGCGCGGGGAGAGTGTGGTGGAGAAACAGGTGAAAGAAGCTCGCACTAAATGCCGCTCTATTGCATCGCTGCTGACTGATGCTCCCAACCCCAACTCCAAAGGGGTGCTTATGTTCAAGAAGCGCCGGCAGAGAGCCAAGAAGTACACGCTTACCTGCTTCGGCAAAGCTGAGGGAGACGGAGGGGGTGAGACAGAAGGGGAGACAGGAGGAGAGACTGAAGAGGAAGGAGGGAGTTCCATCCTAAGTGGCTCAGAAGTCGACGAAGAGGGATTCTCGGCATCGTTTGACCCCACGTGGGATACTGGTTATCTAGACCTGCTGGACAGGAGAAGTTCTGCTTGCCCGTCAGCCACGCCAACTGCTCCGACAACACCAACAACCAATCAGAGACCAGGACTGGACGTCTCGGCTTATCAGACTCCAGGACTTGTGACTTCTGCCGGTCAAAGCCCAGGGTTGGAGGTCTCGGGGTTGGAGAGCTCAGCCTATCAGGGCTCAAGGCTGGAAAGCAGCGTCGCGAAGCAGCCGGTCAGTAACCGCCCTGCGCACATGTCTCCTCCAGCTGTAGCTCTGGCCAACGGAGGGTCAGTAGCTGTCAGTCGGGCCAGCGTTGTTCTGAGCCCTCCGTGTCAGACGCCCCTTCGAAGTCAGAATGGGCAACACGGCAACCCTAACCCAACTCCTAACCCCGATCTCAGCCCAGTGACGGACTCACACAACAGCTTCAGTCCTAACGCTGGTGTTCTGAACCGCACCGCTCGCCCCTTCACCCCTTGCCCGACCCCTTCTCGTGCCTCCGTGACCTCCGTCATGTTCCGCCCTCCCCAACCCAAACCCACGGCCATAACCATGGCGACCAAACCAGTGGCAGCCGTCTCCATGGTGACCATCCCACCTACTCACCATCCATCAGGGCCAGATGCGAGGAGAGCCGTGTCTAGCACCTCCTTGTATATCCCTCCAAGAAATAACAGCAGCAACACTCCCCCCTCTGCTAGCTCTCCCCCGTCAGCTCTCTCGCCTCCCTCCTCTCTGTCTTCTGCACCTTTCTGTCAGCCGCCAGCAAATCCACAAACATTCACTCCACAGTCTGCAGCGCACGCTTTTCCGTCCACCCCCCTCCCTCCATCTGTAGCTCAAGCTTTACCTGCTCAGACCTTTTCCCCTCCAGCTCCTCCACCATATCTCTCTCCTCCTACTCCTGCTTACCCACCTCCCTCCACCTACATGTCACCTCCTCCCATCTCCCCTCCACATCCGCCTGATTTGACTCAGGTCTCCTTCCCTGCACAGCCCACCCATCCCGCTCCTCCTCCGTCCCAACCTTCTCCATCTCCGTCTGTCTATCCTTACAATAACATGGAAGGGACTCCTGCCCCCAGTGCTTCCATGGCAGCTACACCACCTCCCCAGGCTCCTGCCGCCGATTCGCTGGTGACACGTGAGCAGCGCATCTCGGTCCCGGCCGCTCGCACCGGCATCCTGCATGAGGCCCGTCGCCGTAGCAATAAGAAGCCGATGTTCAGCGCAGTCCAGAACAAAGATGTGTCTCCAAACCCGGACTTGCTGTCGATTATCCAAAACATGGATGACCACTATGGGCGAGCCCCCGGTGCTGAATCTGGAATCGTGCCCAGTAATGAGGCAGGCCATGAGTCAGGGCCTGAAGAGGACTGGCTGAGGCTGGGGGCAGAGGCCTGCAACTTTATGCAGGCTCAGCGAGGACCCAGGCCACCCCCTGTAGCTCCAAAACCACAAGCCCCTCAGGTGCCACAGCTGGCGGGGAAAGGAGGCCAGCTGTTTGCTCGCAGACAGAACAGGATGGATCGGTACGTCGTGGAGCGATCTCCGTCTGTCGCTGCAGCTCCTTACTCTCCTGCCCAGACAAGGGAGCCCTCGCCCACACCTTCCCTCCCTGCCACTTGGAAGTACTCGTCCAACATCCGTGCTCCTCCACCCATCAGCTACAACCCCCTGCTCTCTCCTTCCTGTCCCCCTAAGGCCCAGAAGAAACCTGAGGTGGCAAAGTCTGGGAAAGCTGCATCCAAAGGGAAGAAAGCCTGCATGAACGAGATGGATATAATGAGCCACCAGCCCTACCAGCTCAACTCTTCTCTGTTCAGCTATGGAGGCGGAGCTCCCCAGGACACCTCCGCCTATCAGCAGCAGAGAGAAAAGACAGGTGGTCCTCAGAAGACGGCACGAGTGTATGAGGTGAAGCGCTTCTCGACGCCCCCACCGACGGCCACAGGGCCCGCCCTCAAAGTCATCGTACCTCGATCAGCCACCACACTTGGAGAACCAATGTGGCGCTCTGACGTCACGTCTCCTCCAACGATTGCCAACGCTGCCCCCTACCAGCACTACCAGCCTCCACCCCAACCGTACCAGCCTCAGTGGGCCGCCTCACCTCTATCCCCCACAATGCCTCCTGCCCCTACTGCCCCGCTGCCTCAGCTTCCCACCTTCCAATCCCCTACTTTCTCCCACCCTCAGCCCCCCAGCGCTCCACAGGCAAACAGGCAATTCAAAAGTGCCCCAGATCTGAGTCCTCTGGGTCCCACTGGCGCCTCTCACCAGGCATCCGGCAGCACTCAACCCACCAGGGTTCCCAGGCCCAGGTTCAGCACTTCCAACCTGGGCCTGCAGCCTTGTGTCTGGCGTCCCGGATCCACTGCGCACTGAACAGATTCTTGTGTTGGACGTTATAAGCCAGAGCTCTGTTGGAGCTTAGAGCGACATTTTTGAAACAAGTGTTTTTTGCATTGTGTTACTGATACTCAGATCTGCAGCTATCGGCCACGTGTTTCATCACAAATACACATGTAGCGGTTTTCTCATTTAATCTCGTGGACTCACTTATCCAATACACTTAGTTTTACAGTAAATAAAGGGAACACTGTGTTTTGAAAAGGAAATGTAGTGATTAGACCTGAGAGAGGTTGAAGAAATGGAAATCAACTGAAGACTGAAAGGTCAGAAAGAGATGTGGGGGAAACGAAGATCTGTAAATATTGTATTGAATGATGGAGAATTGAGCAAACAAAAAAGAAGAACAGAGGATGTGTAACGATGAGACTGAGGATGGAGAAGGGATGAAAAGAAAAGCACAGATGTAGTGACATGGTACGTTTAACATGTGCAGATTTGACTTATAGCTTCACAGTCTGTAAGCATCCTATGTATCCTATTAGAGAAGTTGTATTACTAACAGTTAGAAGCTACTCCTCCTCCTCCTCCTTCTGCTATAGATATTCTAAGGATTTGTGTTTCTGAGTGCCATTTTGTAGTCGCGCTCTGTGTGCTTTGTTTTTAGTAGTTTCTCATAGGGTGAGGAGCACAGCTGTCGCCAAGACGGGAAAAGCCTTTTACAGTAGACGTGATTTCTCATCTGTTGAATATGAAACAAGAGCAGTATAACATGTCTGTTAAGCTGTGATTCTTTTCCACGGAGACATGCAGCCGGAATAAAAATAGACATGACTCACCTCAGCTGTCATTCTGTCTCTCCCTGTGTCACCCACGTCACCACCACCCGCTCCCACACCGAGGCCCAGTGTCGCCTTCTCCACCCCACCACCACCACCATTAGTTTTCACCCTTTTCTCTCTTTGTCGCATCTACCGGCTCCCCTAATAGCTCAATTGTTCTCTCCCGATTCTGCCAGTATTGACGTCACATTCAAAGTCATTAGTTTAGGCATCAAGAAAATGGTTTTGGTAGCAGTTTGAACTTCCACCACATGGAGGCGCTGTAGGATTTGCCATCCAGACATGTTGCACCACGACAGTTTATAGCCTCCTGGCTTGTCGCCTCTCAGATTTTTACTGGTAAAATGTCATTAACACTTAACAGTTATATGCACTTGACTCTTTTATGTTATTTATTCTACATCCTAAGTGTGAATACCCAAACATACCACAACCCAACTCTCTGACAGGGAGGAGAAACATTTCAAATCCACGCATCCCCATATTCTGTCCTGCCGTTTCTCCGCTTTAATGTTTGATTACCACATTTGACGACGTCCTTGTAGGATTGTTGGCCTACATTTCAGAGCAGTTTAATGACAGCCAACTGATGGCCTCGGAGCTGTGAAACCCAACCACGGCCACGGAGAGGGATCTAACCTCTGACCCCTGACTGGGATCAGGTGACAGACGTCGCTAACTTTAGCTGCTAACTTTAGTTCCGTTCAGGTTCGTAGGTAAGTTTAGCTGCTGTGCTGCGTGAAGGGAAAACACACACAAAAATCCCTTCGGCGTGCAGCATATTTTTTCTCCTGTAAACCTCCCGTGTACGTGGAGTCTAGAAATACATAAACGGCCCCTACAGTAATGACCGAAGTGCTTTTTTTTAACTACTGGCCATTTCACTGAATCAGTTCTACAGCTTTCTCTCTTTCGGTCCCTCCCCTCGTCGTCTCTGTTAATTCCTCTCCTGCTCAGTTGCACAAACACACACACACACACACACACACACACACACACACAAAACCCATTTCACCTATTTTTGGAGCCGTTAATCTCCAGCTATTTGGCCCGGTGCTAAACTCTTAATTCTGATGGCTTTTTTACAATGTGATTGAGAGTGCAGGGGAAGCGCTACCTCGTACATCCTCTCTCCTCTTGCCGCTCTGCCAGAGAAGCTCTTTCCTCACACCGTGTTTCTGGGGCGACGGAGTCGAGTGTTTGGGGTCAGGGGTCAGGGTTTGGGGGCAGGTTGTTTTCGTCTCATGTCAATCAATGTACTTATTATTGTTAATATTTCAGAAAACCATTTCTCTGTTATTTTCAGATTCATTATGAACTGATTTATTTGGCTGAATGACGTATTCGTGGAGGTAAATTTGTAAGAAGCAACTGGAGTGACAACCAACACACTAAGTGATGGATTTACAGCCTAGCTACACACACACACACACACACACAAACAAACAAACAAACACACATACCTCTGTATCAAGGCCACTTGACCTATTTAATTTCAGGACTTCCACAGCAGTGTGGCTCTTTGGAGTGAAGTGACACTTGGTCGTCCACACTGAAATAAGTCACGAACCACTGGATGAAACTCAGTGCAGACCTTCATGGTTCCTCCACAAGAAACTATAATAACTTGGTGACTTTTCCTCTAGTGTTCATAGCGACGTCGCTTCTTGATCCTTCGATGTCGGCTCTTCCTGTCACCGTGAGGCAGAATTCACCAAGCGTTGGATTGTCCACCCACCAATAGGGAAGCTGGGATTAGACCGTCGTGAGGCAGGTTCGTTTGACCCGACTGATGATGTGTTGCTGCAGACAGGTTGTGTTTTACACGAGTGAAATGTGTCGACATGGACTGTCATGAAATTTGGTCTTCACCAGAAGCTTCATTAAATCAGATTTTAGGTGTATTCTGTATAATTCTTTGCTGTACTTTCCATTTATTGCAAAATAGAAAACTAAAAAAGCGTGCTAACACACTGAGCTAATGGTGAACATAGTAAACGTTACATGTGCTAAACTCTAGAATATTGTCTTTGTCGTTTTGATGATAGCGTTCTGTCTAAATACAGTCTTGCAGAGCTGCTCGATGCTGTAATAACAGATTTTTAGGTTGATTTGGTGACTTTATGAAAACATCCAGCAATTCTGAAGCAGCACTGCCGTTCATTTGTGTCATTTTTGTGTCCAATAGATGAATGTTAGTTCAGCATTCACTGTCTTTTAGCTTCGTGTTTGGTCTCAACCAACTCCTAACAGAAATATCGTCTCTTTAGCTGCTAATTACTACACTTTGGTTACCATCTTATTGTCAGCTGTGTCTTTCTGCCATGTTTGACCAAGCAGCTAATGTATGGAGAGCTTTTTTTTACTAAACTTATGCAACGAGAGTGTGACAGTCGACCAAAACAGCTAAACAATGAGCTGAAACTCACTATAAAGGTCTGTAAAGTGTTGTGGAGCATTTTCTGACTTCCACATTCACTGAACTCTACTGAGGAGAAAACGAGCAGACAACAGCGATCTTTGGTCCACTTGAGGGTTTATTATGAACTGCTCAGAGAGTACAACAAATAGAGTCAATCTCATGATCGACGGAGGCATAGAAGCTGTGTATTTTCATGAATACAGCTCCCAATCTGCACCCAGAATCTGCCTTATCAGTCTGTGTGAGGCAAGCTTTTGCATCTGTCTCTTTGTGTCTGCTGCTGAATGGTCACCAGATATTCAATCAATCTATCGTATGGCCACACACAGTTCCTTCCAGGAGGATTGTGGGACTGTGTGATGGATGTGGAGCTAACAAGCAGAACAAATTCATTAGCTACCCTCTGCTTCCCAGCACTGCACATGGATCCCAATTATATTCTTTCAGACTTTCATCATTAACATATGTGCTTATGTATTCTAAAATATATAAAGAAAAATTATATTATTGCAGCATATGTGAGCACTTGGTTTAACTCATTATATGCTTGATTGTATTGTGTCACAACAGTACAGCTGCAAATTCATTTGGTGACTCTGTATATTCACTCCTATGAGAGACGCCCTTCATTTGATGCAATGCTTTTACAAACATTTGCATTATAGCTGCTTTAAAATTGAGGAAATTCTTTCTATTCCAAATGATCGAAGCTGGCTAGACGACTGTATTTTATCTCATGATCAAAACTCTCTCTGAAATGTAAAGCGTTTGTTGTTTTGTCACGCAGATGCAACGGATACAGCGAACAAATGCAACGCAAGTGAATTATAAAAGCTGCTAAAAAGGTTTGTGAGACTGATGACACGGTGGCGCAGGTGTGACTCCTGCCAGGTACAAACCAGGCTTGAAGTTGCTCATCATACCCAAAGGTTTGCTCGGTGGAGGAGGATGTACAAAGAGACTATCAGAGGAGGAGGAAAACACATCAATAAAAGCATAAATGCCCGGAGGCAAACAAACCTAGTTTCTCTTCTCTTGTGATGTTTTTCGTGTTTTCGAAATGTTTACCTGCAGCCTGGAAAGGCGGGACTCACGAGTCAGTAGCTCGAAGAATTCACTAAAAAGCATCCTGCATAATTCAACCAATCAATGAATTTTAGGATGAATAATTTAAGATTTGCTCCTTGTGATTGAAAAAAAGCAAAACACTAATTGTGTTTTTTCCCCCCCAGAATCTGGGCTTAAGACGAAAAGTGATGTTTGCAAACTTTGCAAAACACCTGAGCATCGGAACAACTACCAAGAGAACATTAACCCAACAAGCATGAACAGACCTGCTGTTGGTTAACATGTAGTATCAGTACTGGTTCATACAATTAAAGGAACCAACATGCTTGGTTAAACTCCCTCCTTGAGTTGGTTTTATCCTCCTTCTGTCCTTTTAATGGAGGAAGGGGCTGTAAAGAGTTCACTAAATAGCTTCCTGTGGTATGTTGTAAACTATTCATATTCTTAGTGTTGACCCTTGAAACCTATAAAAAGGTTTCATTGGTTAGACAGGATATTTTTTCTCTAAATATAAATTCTTTCTCAGTTTGTGCCTTAGCGGTTACAGAAAACAAATCTCCTCTCAAGTCGCAGATCACTTGCAGGTTGTCCTCCAGCATTTCTCTACACTTTGCTGCATTTATTCTACCCTCCACCTTTATCAGCCTTCCAGGACCTGCTGCTGAGAAGCATCCACACGTCATGATGCTGCCACCACCGTGCTTCACAGTGGGGATGATGATGTGCAGTGTTTGGTGTCCACTGAACGCTGCTTCTAGTCTGATGCAAAAATGACCAAAGAAGCTTCATCCAGTCGACTTCAGAGTCTCCCACGTGCCTTCTGGTGAAGTCTAGTCGAGATTTAACACAAGCTTTTTTCAGCAGTTGTTTTTCTTTGTCACTTTTTCAAGAATCTTTGTCTTGTGATGACGCCTGTAACTCCTTTAGAAGAGCCGTCGGCGTCTTGGTGACCTTCCTCACTCGTCTCTTTCTTCCACGGTCACTCTGTTTCTGAGGATGACCAGCTCTCAGCAGATTTACGTACATGTTTAACTGCACTCCAAGGAATATTCAGGGACATTTTCTTTTATCCATCCTCTGACTTATGCTTTTTAACAACCTTATCACGGAGTTGCTTGGAGTATTTTCTTTAGTCTTGTGTTTTCCTTTTCATAAATAAAGAGATTTCCACCATAAATTGATGCAGAAAAGGTTTAATTTGATGCATAAAAATTCACCAGAGTCTGATGCTCAACATTTCATGAGGATGTCCAGACCCCTGCGTTGTGACAGTCTGAGATGTTCACATAAAATTATTCCAAAATGCCAACAGATCAGTTTGTAGACTTGATATCTTCATATCAGACAGTACTTATATTTTTCCTTTTATTCTAACAGATAGATGTGTTAGCCATGTGTACAGTTCATTTAGCCAACCTCTGAACTCAAAGCACCACACCCACCTCCCTCTATACCCCCTACTCAATTCACCCCCCACCCCCTCTCCGACCCCCCCAGGCCTGGTCCATAGCACTGGAGCAGCCCTGCCGATAGGGTTTCACTCTCTGCGGGGCGAACAGGAGGGCAGGCTGTACAATACAAGCTCTGGGACACAGATCTACCTGGGAATCAAGATTTCTGTTCCTCTGGGACCTCCTGTGTCTTCCTGTGGATACCTGAGTCTTACAGGTAAGACGTCGGAGAGGCGAAAATGTGCGCTAGGACCTGTAAAAACCCAACGAAATCTTTCTCACGCGTGTCTGGAATGTTTGCGGATTATCTGGGGCTGATGGTCGCATCAGTTGCAAGCAGACAGTTAAATATGTTGGAGTTTTGTGGTCAGCAGATTTTGGAGCCTCAGTCTGTGGAGACTCTGTGACTGGATCAATTAATGAAAGAGCGAAAATGAAAAGCAGATGCTGAACAGATTATAGCAGAATGGATGATTTGTTCTGGTAAAAGTCACGTTAACTGCTCGAGAAAGCCTTTAAGTTCACACTATGCCAAGCATGGTGTGAAACCCACACGAGCACGTGCACTTTCCTGATTGAACAGTTAATTTAAAAACCAATTTAACCCAGAGAGAGCCAGTTGGTCCCCACCGCCGTCTTCGTCTTCCACCGCCTCTTACCTAACGCTGTAGTCTGTGAGGAATGCGGCCCTCTGCGGTGGAGTTTTTAGTTCGAGGGGATGTATGTGTGTATTTGGGAATGTGCTGACTGATGCCCTTCCTCCCCAGCTGTCCCCTCGAGATTTATCTGGAGCTAAAACCGGCTGGTCGAGGGGGACCGGAGCGCCTCTTCACTTAGAGAGGCGGTAACAGGAGCCAGGCCCTTTGCTCGCACAAGCTCCTGTGGTTGTCATCAGCGCTGCCTCCATCTTGCATTTCCCCCCGAACATCCAAAAACACCTGTAATCTCCAGTTTTTAATCCACCGGCCGCTGACTCACATTAATCACAAGAGGAAAAGCTATTTGAGTGCAAATCACCGCGCGTGCTGTTTGTGTGGTGCACTTCTACGTAGGTTTGGAGCTGACGACGGTCCCGCTCACCGGCGTGCTATAGAACATGGGCTCATAAAAATAGCTCACACAGGAGCGAATCCCCGGCTAGGAAATGAGCTTCAATTACAGCGGATGAAAAGCAATTACATTAACTGTCTCCCTGTAGACGGGCCCTCCTGCTTTTTCTCTTGTAGCGGGACTCACCTCCAGCTTTACATAATTGCTTTCGACCTGAGCAATTGACAGCGACATACTGCCAGGCCCCCACCTGAACAGTTAGTCAAGAGAGACTCGAGCTGCCACCGGGAATTAGTGTCCTCAAGGGCACGCAGGGGTTATGCGCTATGTTTTACGTGTGTTTAAGTTAATTAGGAAAGCCAGTGAGGTTCTGCCGGACCTCGCTAGGCTTTGGACGCGGGTATCTCTCGGGAATAAGTTTGAATATTTCTGGATAAGTTTCTTTGTTGTGTCACATTTCACTGCTGGTCCAGTGTCTTGTTGCTAATTCTGTCGTGCACTCTGCTGGATGCATTCAAGAGAAAAAAAACTCTCAGCTTTAGTTTAAAACTTTCTTAAACAATAAACACCGTAGTTCGCTCTGACTACTTGATTTTGATAATAAAACCGTCACGATGGCTTGTATATTTGTTGCAGCTTATGTGCCAAAAATCCAGCACCGACTGCACTGATTTATTGTGTACGTTCCTTCTGAGTTTTTAAATCTGTAATAACCAGTTTTCTTGCCACTTGGGGGCAGTGCAACAACCTGTAACCCAACAAATGCTCCGAAGTCATCATTAAATTAAATTTGTATGGCCACAATGTGGAGGCACAGAGGCATTCTCTGATTAGATGTACCTATTAGCAGGATGTTAAGATTTGGTTCGATTTAGGAACAAAGCAACTCGGTTCGGTTTCGTAAAAGATTGTAGTTTGTGTTAAAAAGATTAATTCATGCTAAGGCATCTTCATCACCATGTTTATAGAAAAAATACGGTGGTTAGGCCACAATCCTTCACATGATTTGGAAAAAACAAAACAAAAACGTCAATGTTTGTTGACCCGTCTATCCACCCCAACCTTCTCCCAACACAAACACTGCTGCCCTGCTACCCTCCTCCGTCATTCCTGTCATAACTACTGCAGCCACTGGATAACTCGTTGTTCTGTTGAGTCTCCTGTAAACAGAACAGTCACTACACAGCTTCTATATTAATATACGCAGTGTGCTCATACTCATACTGTATATAATGCACTTTACTGCTGTTGTTGCATCTCTGGTTAGATGCTAAACTGCATTTCGTTGTCGTAGGCCTTGCACAATGGCAATAAAGTTGAATCAAAACACAACTTAAATATTTTACCACAGACACAAAGCAGCATTCATATAGAGTCATGTTGCTAGACCCCCAATATTCACTCCCCTTTCGGCTCTGTTTTTGGTCTCCACCAACTTCTAAGGAGGAAAAATGTACCTGTTTGGTGTTAGTTTGGCAGCATTTTAGAGCTTTTTAGCTGAAAACGGTGGCTGGATGAGTAAAAAGAGCAACGAGACCAAACCGAACAGCAGCTGTTGTGAAGCAAGAAGAGTCAAAAAACAAAATGCAGCTCTACAATGTGAAACTCTACTCAGTCTTATGATCCTCTGGTTATATTAAAATCTCAATTTGAGCAGCTTTCATGGTCTAGATTTAAATATATCGAAGCTTTAGTTAAAAAAACATTGCTATTTTTTCGCATCTTTCGTACTTGACCTTGTTAGTAGTAGTTTGACAAAAACTTTTTGAGCAGCTGGTGAAGACGTAAAATACAAGATTTACTGTCAGAATTTCATCATTTTTAGACTGTATCTGTGTCTAAGCTCGTTTTATTTACTTTGAAAAGCACAATGGCTGAAGGTGATTATCATAATGAAGACGTCATTAGTGTGTTCTGTCTTCCAGCCATGCCTATCACAACTCCTGCCCCTCCCAACAAGAGGAAGAAGGCCAACAAGATCATCACTGACCTGTCCAACGTCAGCCAGAATGGTAAAACACACACACACACACACACACACACACACTCACACAAACAGCATCATAACAAATCCAAACAGCGCGTATGAACATGAAACGTTCTGCTGGTTATTCCTCAAAGACGCCTCCTCCTTCCTCCCGTGTGATCTGATTATCCAGTCCAGTAAATGTCAAATCTTTAGCGTCCGCCTGCTATTTGCCCGGCCTACGTGTTTAAATTGAACAGCGTGGGCGTAAATCGTTGCGTGCGGTTTGTGCGATACGACAATTAAATAAGGACAGACACACACACACACACACACGGTCCAAGAAGTAATGCAATACCTAACATGCAAGTGGCATCTCCTGGAGGGATGTGGGTCATTATCAGATGGCAGAGCGGCCACAAATCTGTCACCATTATAGTGCAACTCAAAATACCAGATGGCGATTCTGCTCCCACTACGTTTGTTGGAGGCCGTGCGCGAGCAGCGGCTAAATCGGAATCAATGCGACTTGTGAAAAGGCGGCAAACGGGTCACATCTTGACATTAAACTCTGAAAACTGAATTCCAGACGGTTTGAGGTGTTTCTATCAGCTGCAGTTAGCTTCCTGCCACTTTTACTTCATAATATTTTTTCCTCCTTTGTGTACATTGGCTGCTTACACTAAATACCACTTTCATTTTCTTCCACTTTCTGTGCATGAGAGATTTCACTTACTGTAGGAAAGACCCATCAGAGTTTAATGCAGTTAATTTTTTGCCAAACCCACCAGTCGGTCCATCTGTTCAAACTCTTGCTGTGCAGCTTAAAATTGTTCAAACTCGCAGAACATTATTTCTAATTATAGCCGAGAGCCCAAAGTTTTCAAAGTCTCACGATGACTTTTGGGGGAAAATAGAGAAGACATTTTTTTTAAAAAGCAGAGTTTCCTCAGCTACAGTACTTGAATGGAATTTGAATGCATACTTTTACTTGAGTATTTTGATTTACTGCAATATGCAAAACAGATCTTGAGTTATGATTTAAAAGCTCCTGGCTGCAACAGTAAATCCTGAGTGGATTTTCTTTGGCTTGCTCCACGTCCAACAACATGCAGAAGCTGCAGCTCTGAATGGCCTGTAGGTGTGAACGGTCGCCTCTCTCTGCGTGTCAGCTCTGTGATTGACTGGCAAACTGTCCACGGCGTCTCCAGCCTCTCATCCAGTGTCAGCGGGGATCAGCAGCAGGGCCCATGATGCTCTGAAGCGGCCGTCTCCAACCTTGTGTGCACCACGGACCGATTTCAAGCAAAACGGTTTTCTACAGACCGGTCACATAACAAATAATAATTGTTTTTTTCTATTAAAAAAGTGTCACAAATGAATCAAATTACTTTTTATTGCTAAATAAGTATTTACTATCTCTTCCGTCTCAGCATCTCGTTCTCTTTTCAAAGAAGCTCTCCAGAAAAGTTAGTTTTTTTATTAATTGTGGCAGCGGTTAGAATAGATTTTAATGAAATGAAAACTGAGTGAGACAAGTGCGGGAAACAAGCACAGCTGGAAGTTACCGGAAGACGAGCTCGTCATTTTTCAAAATAAAACACCCTGCAGACGCCAGAGACAAAATAAACCAATAAAACATTTTTGTTCTTTCTGTGCGGTACCAAATGAGTCACGGTGGTTGTGAACCACTGCTCTAAAGGATAACAGCTAATGGATAGATGGACCCACAGGGGTCAGCTTTCTGTATAATGATTATTAATTGTGATCGTGGGACTTTTAATTGTAATTGATTAACATAAAATGATCACACAGTCTAATTAAAGCTCTTTTAAGTAAGAGAAACTTGAAATTACAGTCATAAAAATAACATATTTATGAGTTAAAACAACAGCTATTAATCCATTAACTGTGATCAAACATGTGGCCTGGCTGTAATGAAAGGTCCAGACACTCTAATAATGTTTGTGATCTGGTAGCAGTGTTCATTTGTCGAGTTCTTTTTAGTTTTAGACCTACACAACTCATGACATGCCCACTAGCCTCAGCTGCAACTTGTGTTTGAAGCCAATAAGCAAAAGTTAGCATGCTTATACTTATGTCAGGTGGCTATCAGTGAAGTTTCACTGCATTTTTATTGTGGACGGTAGCATTTTGCTCAAATATTTATATATATAGAGAGAGTTAACATTTCTCCATATTTATATCATTTACCATTATCTACCTGTTTTTTGTTTTTATAACAAGATATCTCACTTTAACAAATAAATATATGGAAAAATATGGAAACAATACTTTTTTCTTTAAGTCTGTCAGATTTTTTAAAATAGAATTACAATTTTTTTAAATATAAAAATGCATTTTTAATTCTCATAATTGTTTTTATGGAAAAAAAAGTTTCATGGTTATTCAGTTTTAAGTTTGTTTTACATCAGCAATGTAAATTTGATTCTTGAAATCTCCTTGATGTTTTTGTGTATTTCAAAAATACAGAAAAAATTCTGCTTAAAAAAACAAAACATGTCAACAGAGCTGCTGCATAATCTGAGTGTCGTTTTAATACGATGCCTTTTGTATTAACTCATATTTACCTGTTGCATAATATACGACTTATAAAAGCCACCACAATGCATCCTCTGTTAATCTCCGAGCATGAAATCTGTCATCTGAATGCGCTCTGAGGGTCCGTGCACGTATCTGTCAATCCGTCAACGTCTCTTTACATTCGCCGTTTCGTCTCGCCGTCTCTCTGCAGCAGCTGTCCACATCTGTGTCTTTCTGCCAGTTCGTTGTCAGTCAGTGAGTCATTCAGCAGCTTATCCTGCTTATCCCTTATTTTGCTGCAGTTAATGCCCACACATCTCTCCATCATCCCCGCACACTGTGTCACTCTGTCGGTTTGTCCCGGGCCTCCGTCCGTCCGTCCGTCCGTCCGTCCGACCCTTTGCCTCTGTCAGTCTGTTCATTTTCCTCCCAGTCAGCAGCCAGCTCCAGTTTCACATTCTTCTGAATTAACACTCTAATCAATATCCCCATGGGGGAGTTCGCTCTGCTCAGCAGCCTCAATTATTCTCTCCACACACACACACACACACACACAGACACACACACACACACACACACACACAGACACACACACCTACTTGCACAAGTCTGATTTACGAGGTACTGCTAACAGCTCTCTGCAGCATTGCAATGCCAACTCCCCGCTTTATAGATGTGTTCGTGTTCGTGCGTGTGTGTGTGTGTTTGCTGGTTTATGGCTGAACTCCAGGTGTTATGAGTGATATCGGAGTGTATGTGGTGGATGAGAAGAGTGTTTTATTAGGAGCTCTGTGGAGCAGTAAAATCCATCAGATCTCTCCATCACCGCGAGAGGCGAGAGCACGAGCCGGCGTGTTATAAGGATTTCCCTCCATAAACAATTCCACCAGAAAACCTGCTGCGACGTTCCCCAGTGCCCTTTTCTTCCACATTGCTTTGGCCTAGTAACCCTACAACTCCCTCGGTTTCACATAACCACATCCTCTAACACCCCACAACAGGTTTCTGCTCCGATTTATCACCGCAAGTCCGGCCTGGGAAGCCTGGCGATAAAAACATGGCCTTTAACAGGTTTAAACATCCCTCATTCCATATCAGACATGTAGGGGAACGTAAACGCGCTTTTTAATTTACCAGATGGGCTTCGGCGAGCAGAGCCGTGCCTCTGCCAAGGCTGAACAAACCTCAGAATCTGTTATTTTAATAACAAAAATTGCTTAGAAATTGTGGACAGTGATAAATCAACATGGGAGCTCAGTTTATTCTATTGAAACAGGTCCAGTGGTTCATAAGAGAATATTAAAAACTTCTAAAAAAAAACAAAAAACCAAACAACTCTTAAAGGAATAGTTACTAGATATTTTTAGAAATACACTTCGCTGGTTTCTTGCCAAGTATTAGACCAACAGATTAGTGCATTTGTTATTTAAATCAGCTTAATTGAATCAGGGACAGAATTTCCATAAGTAATGGTGTTGGGCCAATTTAATAATTTGTTATGTTTTAGTTTAAAATTAGTTGGACCAACTCATTTCAGTTAAGTTCAACCCAACCCTTGGAAATAAGTTGAATCAACCCCAATGAATTATGTTGACTTAACCCAAGAACAATAAGTTGGACCAACAGAATTACTTAATGGTAAAAGAAAACTTTGGAAATACCGTCCATGATTTAATTAAGTTTACTGGAAGAGATTGTTTTGAGTAATACAAGGTGAGATGCAGCCAGATCATGATTAGCTTAGCTTAGCATAAAATTCCTGCTCACTGCTGTCCGGTTTGTGTACAGAACATACACCAGGTTAATTAATGAGCTTCAGAGGTGCTAGCAGAAGCATCCTGGTTGTTTCCCCTCGACTTAAAGTCTTTCTGCTAAGTTAAGCTAACCACATTATATTCACCATACGGACACAATCCTAACCTTCTGATTATCTTTTGCATCCTGCAAACTAATTATTGGACAATCTAACAAATCCAATGAACAAGAAATTACACTTTAGTACAACCAAAATAAATCAGCAGTTTCTCCTGATGGCAGGCCACTCTGTGTGTGAATGTATTTGTGAATGAGAAACACATTGTAAAGTGCTTTGAGCGCCACTAAGGTAGAAAACATTTACCATTACAGGCCCAGCATCTCAGATCATTTGGATTCTGCAGAGTTGCCTTCTTAATAAAAATATGTTTTAAGGTCTTAAAATGATCATGTGTGCAGACAGATGCACTTATTACAAATATAACATCACTTTTAAATAGAAAATCAGCCCTCAGGATGCTTTTCTAAGGCACCGACTGCACTGTATGGTTGATTAATCATGCAGTAGTTGTACCTTTCTTCTACTCCAAACCCAGTCCCCTTATTTTGTCCTCCTGCTTTTCCTCCCCTTGTCAGATGATGAGTCGGACCCCGAAGGTGCTGAGCTCGACCTGGGCACCAAGATCAAGACTCCCAAGGACGTGATGCTGGAGGAGCTCTCCCTGATGAAGAACAAGGGGTCCAAGATGTTCAGGATGAGGCAGCAGAGAGTTGACAAGTTCATCGTGACCAACGAGAACATGGTGAGAGTGACGAACGCAGACAGAGTGATTGTGCTGCGCCTTCATGTGTGTTCTGATCGGATTGTATCTTCTGGTTTTGTCTTCCAGCAGAACCTGGAAAACCTCCTGATGTGTCCTCCTCCAATTCCACCAAAGCCTGAGATGCCAAAGGAGGAAGGTAGGGACATGGATGCACTTTTCTAGTATGCAACATTCTTTCTGGTATGATGTTTATTCTTTGGCCCGGTCTTCCCCTCTGTCCCACTCCTGTTCCTTAGTGGTGGAAGAGACGGTGGATGAGATGGCAGAGAGGCTGAAGAGGAGGAGGGAGTATGTACGTACCTACGTATCACCATGGGAACGAGCCATGAAGGGCAACGAGGAGTTGACATCCACCATGAAGGCTTCCATGCCGGGACCCATCCAGAGCCACGCAGAACTGCCGCAGTACAAGAGCTTCAACAGGTACTCAGAGAAACAGTTATTATGATCACTGGGTATGTTTCTCGTGCACGTATAATGTCAATAATGTCGCTCAAGGTTGCTCAAAATGGTTCAAACCGCCGACCCAAATGGTTTTCTACATAGTTTTGCAGCAACTGCAACACACCTTTTTGAGTGCTGTAAGTTTGTTCCTTCATAACTCTTGGCCACTGATCCTAATTGAAGTTTTTGGTTGACTTTTGAGTTGTTTGAAGAACCAAACTCGTCAGTTGCTCATCGAATTTGATTAGTTGTGGTCATGCCGAGTCCTTAAGACTTTGGTTTACGTAACCAGATAGTGGCGTACCATGATGCTGTGCTGTCAAACCGTCACACTGATAGACATATGGGTGTATCCAGATGAACCGTGATCCCACCGGGACAGCTGGCCAAAATCGATGAAGGTCATCAGCGGCCATTGCTGGACAAGGTGCAACATGCAGACCGGATTCTGGTCCAACGTCCAATTGGCAAATAGTTGCCAGTGGCTACAGAGCAAGAAGGATGATACCTACATGGGCAAACAGACGCTCAAAGTTGACTGTAGCACGTTAGAATCGCATACTTTGCCCAGATGAATGCAGATGTCCTCTTTATCCAACTTCATTCGCCGAAGTGCAGGAAAACGGTTACTGCATGAGAACATCCAAGCAAATGCTCAAGAAGGTGGTGATTCTGTTCCTGTTTGGGATTCGTTTTGTTCAATCTCAGTTTGGTTGTTTTGGATGAAAATGTCACAGGAACCATGTCTGTTCCATTTTGCTAAAGAAGTCTTCCGAGGTAACAACCGATTCCAGCATTACAACGTCCCCCAGACTTTTCCGGATGGGGAATAAGATTCAGGTAACCATTGTTATGTCCTGAGAATCTCTGCACTGAACTATAAACTAAGATGTGAAGTGCAAAACGGGAACAACCCTCCAACAAATCTGCAACAAATGCGTGATGCTTTAGTTCAGGAATAGGACAGTTTTCCCACATAACACCCTGGAAGCATTAGTAAGTGTGACGGATGTTATGGATATAGTAAACTCATATTTTCTGCAGGTGTGTACATAATAATCCAAAATATATTATTTTACTTTTCCTTCCTTCTGCATGGATTGAGCACTAATGATCACCAAACCAAAATCACCAAAGGCAGGAAATTTACATCTTATCATCAATTTTTGATTTTGTCCATAAAGGGACATTATCTTCATCGTCTGCTCTAATAGAAAACCGTCACAATCGTCAAAAATTATAGCTGCTATGGAACAGGCACAGACAAGTGTATCTCAGTTTTGTAGAGATATTTTCCAAAAGGAACAGGCAGACTTGTGCTCTCCAACAGAAGCAGTTCTCTGATAGCATTTCACAGCATTTGAAACTCCCTCAGCTCACACCGGCAGCTGGCCAGATGTGTGGAGGTGAGAAATGTAGCAGGATTGGAATCTGCTTCTCCAGATCTCTCCTTTAAGTGATTCCGTCTGGCACTTTTTGCTTCTTGAAGTGGGTGTCCTCCTAAAAGAACCGCGGTGTTATCCCAGCATTCGGACGGCGTCTCGGCCCTCTGGAACCGTTCTTCAGCTCTGTTACACAAACTAGTTGGCTGCTTTGTGCATATTGACACCTTTAGTATTGGAAATCCATGAAGCGGGAGGACTCACGATCGACTTCTTTAAACGGTCAATATTAATGAAGCACGAACCTAACGACCTTTAGGTTCTAGTGTTCATCGAGCTGCTGCAACCCTGAACCCCAGACATCTAGTCACACCAGTCAATAGCACATTTCATTAGACCTTTTCTTGTCTGGTGCATCTTTTAAACCCCCCAGTTTGTAATGCGGGCTTTGTGTTAACTGAACAGATGTAACTGCGTGCCGTGCAGCGCTCTTCATCTCGAGCCTCCGACGCGTAAAATCCGTGGAGTGCCCCTTTAATGAAATGAGACTTTATTAGACGAGACATTATTAGCTGTGAGAGCTCAGCCGTCTTTATATGAACATAAAATAGGGCACACGGCGCAGAGCGTCTCGCCCGAGAGGAAACCGAGGAGATGCACGTTGGCAGAACGTTCTGTGATGGCTAATGTGGCACAGCTGTGGTACTTTAACCGATACGACGCTGGTAATCGTGGAAAAAAAAAAGAAAAAAAGAAGCCAGTTGTTTAACCGACGGAGCTGCGACCACATCAGCTCGCTGACCCGCTCTCGCAGAACCCACATCGCTATGACAACCGGCAGTTTGCTGCTTCATCACGCGTTTCCATGGCTTTGCTCCGACTTCACACACTGTACCGCATCCCTGACATTTGGAGACGTGCTGCTACGCTCACCACCGAGACGGCGTTTCTCCACAGATGTCATTATTTTAATCTTGTTTGTACCCTGGATCTCCATCCGTTGCAATGCGGATGTTAATAATAATTGTTCCGTAAGAGCAGCTGCATCCTGATTACTGATGGGTCTGAACAAGTGGTAAACTACAGGTGGATTATAGAACAATACACGCCTGGGCCCAGATACGTAAAAGGCCTCCCTGTATAGAAGTAAAACGTACAAACTGATGACTACAGCAACATTTTGGAGGCGTTATGAACATGACTTTTCAGGATCTTGCAGTTGTTTTGTGTCTCTGAATGTGTCGACCATCTTTGTGGCATCTATGTGTGGTAGTTTCAGGAGTTTATTGGTGGTTGTGTGCATCCTTTTTGCAGTTTTGTGTATGGTCAGTGTGTTTCTCATTGTCATCATTTAGCGTCTTTAGGGTTTATTTGTGTGTCTTTGTGGTTGTTTATGTCTCTACTTAAAGGTTTATTTGTGGTACATTTGCATCTCTATGTCTTTGTTTTAGGAATTTGTGGTCACTTTGAGCCGCTTTCTGGCTATTTGTGTTCTAAATCCATGTCACTGTTGTCACTTTGTCTCCTTCAATTTGTGATTGTCTAGTGTCTCTTTGTAGACATTTGTGTTTCTTTGCAGTTGTTTGAGTCTCTCTTTAAATGTTTATTTGTGGTCGTTTTGCATTTCTATGTGGTCCTCTTAGGAATTTGTATTCATTTTGAGTCTGTTTGTGGTTGTTTTGTATCTATTTGTAATTCTTTTGTATGTCATTGTGGTTATTTTGCTTATCACTGGAGTCACTTGTTGTCTTTGAGGTCAACCTGTGGTTGTTTAGTGTCTCTCTTTGTGTGTGAAGAGTGTCTTTGTTGTTGTCTATGTGGTCGTATAAAGGGTTTGTGGTCATTTTCAGTCTGTTTGGCATCTCCTTGTTGATGTTATGCATGTCATTATGGTCCATTTCCATTTCATTTGAGTCATTTATTGCCTCTTTGTGGTTGTTTTGCATACCTCTGTGCTGGTTTTGTGAATCTGTGGTCATTTTAAGTCTGTTTGTGTCTCTTTGCAGATATTACGTGCATCACTGTGGTCATTTTGCATCTCATCATGTTACGTCTCTGAGGTCAATTTGTGTCTCCTTGTGGTTGTTTTATGCCTCTTTTGTAGATGTTTGCGTCTCTTTCCATGTCATAGATCGATTGCTTTAGTGGCACAGTGACTTGATGCCCCGTCACCCCACCACGCCCTGTCCGTTCAGTGCCGAGCTTCAGCTTTGTAGAAAATCCTGTTAAAAGCAGGGTGTTGGTGTTTTTCTACATCCAGCTTCTCCTCAGCTTCCCTCCTCTCTCCTCCTCAGGATGGCGCTGCCGTACGGCGGCCACGACAAGGCGTCCAAGATGCTGACCTTCGAGCTCCCGGAGATCAGCATCGTGGAGGAGCCGGAGCCTCTGCCCAGCCTGCAGGCCGACATCCGCTCGCGCCCCTCGTTCAACCGCACGCCCATCGGCTGGGTCTGCAGCGAGGAGAACTCAAACATCCACATGGACCTGGACAACATCCCCTTTGACGGCGAGACAGACGACCTGTGAACACACATGCAGACGGAAGCATATTTACAGAACACGTAGCCTAGAACCGACACCAACCACGTTAAGAGATGCACTGAAACCCACAAACACACACATTCAGCAAGAACGCATGAGTGTAATAGATCATCATTTACACCATGTACACTGATGAGGCGCCTCAGACACACACTGAAATGTACTTTAATTGCATGTAATGAACATAAAAATGATTTAAAAATGCCTTTATGATAAAGGACAAACTCTCTCTTCTGGTCTCCAGTGGGCTTTCTTACTGTTACATCCCCAACTATGAGTCTTACTATGATTTTGCATACTGTGAGATAACGTGAGACCTGTGTGAGTAGAACTAGAAAAGCACTCCGCACTCTTAGAACAATGTATTTATGCAATAAACTTCCCCTTTACAGAACGCTGGATGGCTTCTCTTTCTGCATGTCCTGAAGGATTCGGACAAAAAGTACGGTCCAAATAAAGTAAAGTGTGTCGCTTTTTTGTCCAAATAATTGCACCTCGACATACTTATCATGCATAAAATCACCCACGAAGAGACGCCAGCTCAACTATCACGACAAAAATGTGAAATGTGCTCCAGAAAAATCCAGTAAAAGAATCTTGAATGAAAGATAATTTTGTCAGAAAACTATTTCTGAAGGTAAGACATGAACTTTTGCACTCAGTCTGTAATCTCTATTCAACTAGACAGACCAACGACAAAGATTAAAGTTCAACTTTTAGCAAACTATAAGAGAACCAGTGACAAACCTTAAGTGCCTCTGTTCATTTTGGCATCATTTCAGTGTTTTGTTATGAAATCATTTCATTTATCGTCTTCGTTTAAGGGATTCAAATTGATATTAATGCTTCGTGGATTAAAAAACAGACATATTTACACACAACACAGCGTCTCGGTAGATGTGTTACGTCTAATAAAAGGTGAAAATGCCATTAAAAATCATAGGATAACTTGCTCATTTACCTTCTTGGTGAGACTAAATGACAGGACGGATACCACGCTCATGTCTATGTACTAAAAATTAAGCGACTTAAAGCATGAAGGCTGGAAACAGGGCAACCAGAACTCTGACCAGAGGTATCCAGATCTACCCGCAGGCGCCTGCAAAGCTCACATTAACATATTTCATGTAATTTATTGTTTAATCCGAACAAAAAACAAAGTGTATTAACAGCCCTGCTACAGTGGCTTATTTTCTGGACTATTTCTCATCACTTTGAACTCACTTTTGGCAGCGATTTTCCTGCATAAAGGAATTTTTGGCAGCCCTCAAACAGGTTTTAGCCAGCCCCAAAGGAAAATCACCAGGGCCAAAATAAATGAAAGGACTGAAATAAACACGGCAATTCAATCTTTTTTAATCAGTTTTGCTAATTTGGGTTTCATTTCCTCAAGCATAATAGACATTTGTGTTTATAAACTGGTCAGAAGTAACAGAAGAACGCACAGATTTACGTCGAATACCGTAAAACGGACTCACCGACTTCACCACACGTGGACTGATCATGTTTACTGCAGTGCACAGTCAGCCCCCCCGAGGGCCCATTGTGAGCCGGAGTTGGGCAAACGGTTCCTCTGTTTCCAGGATTGTTGCAAATGGAAGCTCACCAAGTGCCAGCTGTAGTTTCTTATTTACCGTACAAACACTAAAGTGATATCAGTCTTCTCATCTGACTCAGGAAGAAGGCGAATAAACACAAAATGTCTAATTAGTCCTTTAAATGCCGTCTGTGCCGCTCTGCTGTGCTACCTTCAGCATTTTTAAAGCCTCTTTAGCTCGAAAGGGAGGAAAATTACACCGAATCAAAAATATGAAAGCAGCATACAAATGGGCTTCTTTTCTGACTTGAGAGGAAAAGTTGGAAATCTCGTTTCTAAATTCAGGTAATTGTGCACACGAGGACAATGATCAGACAGTGTGAGCAGACACTTCTTTGACCAGTGGCACCTTAAAAAGCAGCTTTTTTTTCCAAATCGCACGATGCCACAGACGACAAAAGAAAGATGACGTCCACGACTGCGCCGTTTGTTGGGTAAGAAATCCCTCCTGACAGCTCCGGATAGACGTTCCTGACAACATGATCCTGTGCTTGCAAAAATGTCTGTCAGCTTCCCCGAGCCCGTCAGGAAGAGTGGAACAACAGCAGGCTACGAGCAGCTTTGGTAGTTCATGCAAGTCATGAGCCCCTTTTCCTTCCAATCAGTCACGACTCCAGCCCACCCACTTGACGCGCTTTCTAACCGAGGCGGCGTTTATTCCGTCTCCGTGGTCACGACGTCGCTCCTGCACCAGCCACTACAGATCTGCAAATCATCTCCTTCTCCTCCTCGTCTAAGGATCCATATCAGAACCATTTAACAAGTCATCTCACACGTCTCCAGAATCTAAATATCAGCTCAACACAGAGTTAAATCAACCAGCAGCGCCCCTGGTTTTAGCTTTACTGGACTCTTTCTAGATTTATATCCAACTGAGCTGCTGCTTCTTGTTCACTATGAGGATCACAAGCACATTTCTGTCTGAAATCTCAACAGGCTGCACCTGATCAGCTTAGTCAGACCTTTTTGCAATGAAAAACTGGATCATGTATAGTAAGGCTCCTTAAAGTTGTTCATATTGTGTTCCTTTACATTAAAGAGATGGGTGGTGTCCTGCTCAGATTGTTCCAAAGCAAATTCAAATACACTTGATTCTGAAAACATTTACATCCCAACTGACATCAGCTCTATGCATCACAGACGTGTGGCACAACCTCAATCTACCCACTATTATCTCCAATAATGTGCAGACTTGGTTGTTTCATGGCGTCCGTTCTGTTGTAGAGATGTTAAAAAGGCTCCATTCCATCTCAAATAATGAGCAAATTTCTGCTCAGCCATCTCTGATTTGCTTGAAACTTTTAAAATATTATCTACGGATACTTAAAATGCAACCTGTGAAGATTTAGCTCAATACATCAAATACTTTCCCAGATCTTTTTTTTTTTTAAGAAACTTTTTTTTGGTGCATTGAAATATGAGGTTTTGTTTGACTGACGATATCTGAAGAGCAATTGAAGGCACACGCCGGAAAGTTTCCCTGTTATTTCTCATCCGGACATTAATTTATAATCTACAATATTGTTCCATATTATTGTGACGTGTAGCTCATCATCAGTTTTTTGTTAATGTGTGGTCAGAACTGGGACTTTTCATGATGATTGCACTTTTTTTATTCCCATATTTCAACTCACCCTTAATAAGGAACTATTTGGTTTTCTTGTCTAATATTGCAGATTCTGAATCAATGAAACTATGAGAAATAACCGTGACTAATTCAGGCTTTTAGCTTGAATAGTTTCTGAGATATTGTTGATCAAACACAGCTGCAAATGGGTCTAAGGGCAGTCAACTTTTTAAACCAAATTTCATCATCGAAAGTATTTGATATGTCAAACTAAAATTTCAGACATCTTATACATAGCCATAGTTTATGATTAAAAAAAATCAGAGGCCAATCAGAGATGGTTGAGCACAAATTGCTTTAAAAAATAGATGGATTGATCCAGTGAATGTATTGACCTTAATACAGGATTACCTGTTGTGTTTGTATTTTAGTTCAGGGTTAAATCCTCTGGGTGGTCTGAGACCCTTAAACATTTTTGCTCCGGCCCTGTAGTGACCCAAGATGCCAGTCACGATCCAAAAACAAACTGTACCTGCAAAGTCACAAAACATATTTACAAGTTCTTGAAAAAAGTTCACTTTATTCTCACTTTTTTTCTCTCCCCCTCTCCTGCACACCTTCTCTGCCAAACTAAACGGCGTCCCCACGACCTCTCACCTGCTCCGTGAATAATCCCTGTTAGTGGCTGTAAACCGGCGCTGGCAGGTCTCCACTTACAGAAACCAAACAGATGTCCTCTGCACGCCGCTGCCAGCAGGTTACATCGGAGAGAAACGCAGAAAAAGGCGAGTGAAGGAGAGAGATGTTCGTGCGTAAAGGTTAAGGCCAAAAGCTACGGGATGACATCACCAATCGGTCTTTTACGCACCATGTTGCCCAGAAGGCGGCGGCATCGGGCCGGACAAACCACCCCGGACCTGACAAGAAAAAAAAGAAAATAATAACGCTACGTCACACTCTCGAGCTTGGAGGAGATGGCAATGGTATCGCGAGAGCGGCGACCGCAGCGCTGGATGGCGCTGGTGGGGGCTGGATGCGCCCACGGCTCGCCCTCTCTCCCCGTTAAATCACACGGTAGGGCACGCGATCGGACGGAGACTGGCGGCGACAGCGGCTGTGGTGAGTTACGAAAAAAAGGAAAAAACAACAACAAACAAACCTGCACGCTACGCACTGCACGGGCTCCACCGCGGCGGCTGGAGAGACCGGGAGGACGCGCATGTGACCGCACCGGACAGAGTAGGTGTGTGTTTCTTTAGCCTTTTTACGCGCGTGTGTTTGTGTGTGTGTGTGCGCGTGTCAAAGGGGGGGCTCGGCCAGATGTGATCCCCTCCAGATGTGACAGTCTCTGAGGATGGCTGTCTTTTTTTTTCTCCCTTTTCCATCATCATGACTCTCATCAGCAGCAGCAGCAGCAGCAGGGGAAGGATCGCTGCTCCTCTGTCAGCTTTATTATTTCATCAGCTGGTCTTTAAAGCTCCTTTTACGCAGCTGCTTTACGTCCACTTAGACATCCAACAGTGCGTTGGTCCCCACACACTCACAGGTGTATCCGTTCAGGTGCGTGCCACTACGGCTCTCTTCCTGTCCGGTGCTGCGTGCATGCCTCTTCTTCTTGATTTCCGCCAGTGTTTGGTAGACTGTGCGGACTTGTTGATGGATGGACCGAGAGACCGCAGCCTTTTTACCGAGGCGGATTCACGCTCGGCTGTCATCGCTCCCGGGGGGCCTCCAGTGATTTAATGTTGCGGTTTCGATCCGCGTGATTGATGACTTTGGCCCGCATCACCGGCAGCCTACAGCACAGTCACATTATAGAGACGGTGACACAGCCTTCTGCTGCGCACAACACGTGAATGCTGCCCATCCACCCCCCACCCCCCCCAATCTTCATTTCTCCCACAGTCGACATCATCAAGCAGGGGACGGATTGGACCGTACAGTGATCCTAACCTTTACCCTTAACCCCAAAGGCTTCACCCCTTCACCCCATAGTTAACCTTGCAGGCTTTTATCTCCACATTGGAGATAAAAGGTTGCTGGCTGAGCCGGATGAAGCACACCTTCACCTGAGCTCAAATGTCGCCTTGACATTTAAGTTCTCATCAATCTTACTTTTATTTTTGGAGACTCTGGAAGGCAGCACTTGTAGCCCGCTGTGGTTAATACAAGCACGTGCATGAATGTGTGGGCTGGTTTCATGTGGAAAAAACACCAGTTTTTGCTTCTT